ACATCAACGAGAAGATCTGACAGGAGAAGCTCTGCAAAACGGTCAGCAAAACTAACATCTAAAGCCTCTAACTCTGGGGCTTACATTTCCTTTGGACCCTGAATTCTTTACCATCAAGCCCCTGACCTGCAAGGTCGGAGGCGGAGCTTCTATGCGGACTCTACGGCAGCAAAATCGATTTGGGAGTTGGAGGGCAACTCATCAACCCAGACTGCGACTGCCTGTGTGATTTAACGAATCCTTACCTAGCAGATATTATTGATATCATTATCAGTCTCTCTGGGGATGTTCACAAAAGACTTCCGGCCACGCAGTAGCTTTGCAACTCGTGACGAAGAAATGCTGATGTGAACGTCTCACTGCAAGTGCGGCTTCTAAACTTGGCACAGACCGCACTCTCGGAAGCAAGAACTCAGCCAAGCCCTGGCTTGCAAATGCACGAACACCTGGACCTCAGACCACCTGTCCACGAGAAATCTATCTCAGACTGCAAACACCAAAACCCGCAAAGACCCGGGCTCGAATCGCAAAAGCTCCGCACCCTACTACCGCATCAGCCCTGACCCTGAAAGGAAAATTCGGCATCGGGGCGATCTGCCACGGCAGCTCATTGAAGTGTGCACTGGCTGCGGTCCACGCAGCACTTGTTACCTGCGGTGCAGGGCTTTGGGTTCTAGGGTTCAGGGATCTGGTGTCATCAGGGTGTGCATGCAGTTCTATCAACATCCTAGATTAGAAACCTCACACTTTAGGACTAGTAGGGTACGCGCTCGAAATTGGGCTGGCTGCCTATTGCACGCCTTGCAGCAACACTCGCTTGCTGTCTCGAAACAGACAGACAGACAGACAGACAGACAGAGGGACAAACAAACACCGAGACTAAGAGAGTCATGATGGTGTTTGGTTGCCGTAACTCCTTACCCCGAACCGTACCCCAAATATCATGTATGTGTGTCTCTCAGGACTTCTCCAGGGGGCGTTCTGGCGCTTCGCGACTCTGCGCAGAGACAAAGGTACTCTGAGACGCTGCGCCCAGGTAGTCTGAGGGCGACCTGGGGTTCAGTGGGATTTTCGGGCTGTGAGGTCTACGTTCCTGCTTTTGTGGTGAAGCTTTTGGATCTGCAGGGCAGGTTTCGCGCAGCACACAGCTACAAGAAAGCCGGACAGAGGACGAAATCCCCCACACGCCAAGTTAAGCCCTGCACAACAACCCGAACCCCAAACCTGAACCTCAAATTCTTGAGAGATTGAATATTCTCCACACCCAAGCACCCACAGCATCCCAACAACCCTCTCAAGAACCATGGTATGTAAAGTCCACAATCGGTCCGACTAGCTTAAAAATGGACCGCCGTTGAATTCACTTCGACATAAGGATCCGACTCCAAGAGACAAGAATAGGGTGAGAAAAACCGTGGGAATTGAGGGCACCGCGCCGCCCAACACACCCCTGCCCCTCACACCGTTGCTTCACACCGCTGGGCGTGTTGGGTGTCATCTCATCTTGAACTTATGCCTCTAGCGGCAAGGCCACCTAGACCCTGAACCGAAACTTGAGTCAGCCCAGTCTCTGCGGGCGGCTGGGGCCGGGTGCCTCCTCTCGCCCCGCGCGCGCCAAGCGCGCACGCGAGGCACAGGTCTCGGTCACCTTGCGGGTTCTGTGCTCTTTGCTCTTTGGGCTTCAGGGCTCTACATAGGCTTTGGCGGCTTAAGGCTTAGGGTTTAAAAGAGAATGTGAGGATCCCTCGTCAATTGTGCAGGGTCTGCCTTGGACAGTTCTTGTCGTGGCGTCCAGGCACACGTCTTGAATCGCGTTTCGACATAGTGTCGACTGGCTGATTGTTGTTTCACACAGTATGTGCAGGAATATAATTGACACACACACACACAAGCTCTCAATTTCTCAATCTCTCTCTCTCTCTCTCTCTCTCTCTCTCTCCATCCCTCTCTCATGCGTATAAACAAATTACATAGTCTAAACATGGTAACATCCGCTCGAGTGACTCCTGACGGTTTGCATGTGAGTGTTTTGTTGTGCAGGCTCAAAAGTGCACGAAACTGTGGTGTCAGCACATATTTGCTCGGGCGACGAGCTATAACGAATAGCTTGATCCTCGAAGAGCGGTCACTTGGAATGAGGCATTTTGTATGTTTTACAGTGGTTTTGAGGATTTTCTGAAGCAAGCATTTAGGGAAACTTTACGTGGAGGGCGATTTCACACTTATCCGCCTGGACGGGCAGTGGAGCTGGCGCCTAAACCCGTCATCATCCTCATCATCATCATCATCATCACCATCATCATCATCGTCGGTATTGGACTACAACATCACGAAAGTCCTGTAAATACCGAGTAAAACGACTGAAGAAGCAGGAAAGCACCAGGCGCCTGGGGGCACGCTTTGCTGCTGCTGCTGCTGCTGCTGCTGCTACTACTACTACTACTACTACTACTCCTGCTGCTACTACTACTACTACTACTATTACTACTACTAGTACTACAACTACTA